GGAGTCTTAACTCAGGAATCTCCTCCAAAATTGGTCTGTTTTAATAGCGCTTTTATATGTTCTGAAAACAGATGCACCCTCCATCACTCCAAATTCAACGCGATATAACTTTACTGAAGGAAATGACATCGAGCTTCGCTGCGTTACTTATGGCAGACCTCAATCTAAAGTCACCTGGACAAAGATTGGCGAATCCAGCAATATAGTATATCCAGACGGACAGACGCTTATCATTGCGAACGCTAACAGAACTGAGGCTGGTACTTACAGGTGTACCGCAACCAATGGCATCGGAAATAGTGCATCCGCCGCCATACATGTTAATATATTCTGTAAGTATTTGATTGATATTTTGGAGGAATTTAAACGACATAAATACAGAGAATGAATCTAATTTACCTGATGCAGCTCCGATTATCCGTCAATCCTGATATCCATCCTTTCATTTTGCATTCCAAGCAGCCATCTCCCTCCATGTCTGTCTATCTCTCTGTCCATCTGTTTGTCTGTCCGTGTGTTTGTTTATCCGTCTGACTGCAAGCCTACCTATGCAAACCCTTTCCTGCTCCGGCTTGAGTTCACGTATATACATATTTATAGTTCACATATATTCGTATTTATATAACGGCATGTAACTCGCGTCATTTTTCTCGGGTATTTTTCCGGTGTCTGTGATTGGTTTCCTAACATAGAAATACGCCGTCAAGTTGCTCAAATAAGTATTGATGCCAGCATGACATTACTTATTTTGGAGATGCAACGAGATCCATTCAGCTAACGCCACAAAATTCACTGCAGTATGCACCCTTCTCACCTGCTTACCTTTCTCGATACGGCTGCAATTTGTGCCAGTGTCACCTAACCATGCTTANAAGATTGGCGAATCCAGCAATATAGTATATCCAGACGGACAGACGCTTATCATTGCGAACGCTAACAGAACTGAGGCTGGTACTTACAGGTGTACCGCAACCAATGGCATCGGAAATAGTACATCCGTCGCCATACATGTTAACATATTTTGTAAGTATTTGATTGATATTTTGGAGGAATTTAAACCACATAAATACAGAAAATGAATCTAATTTACCTTATGCAGATCCGACTATCCGTCAATCCTGATGTCCATCCTTTCATTTTGCATTTCAAGCAGCCACCTCCCTCCATGTCTGTCTATCTCTCTGTCTATCTGTTTTTCTGCCTGACTGCAAGCCTACCTATGCAAACCCTCTCCTGCTCCGGCTTGAGTTCACATTATTTTTAACTTTCTTCGTATTTATATAAGGGCATGTAACTCGCGTCATTTTTTTCGGGTGTTTTTCCGGTGTCTGTGATTGGTTTCCTAACATAGAAATACGCGGTCAAGTTGCTCAAATAAGTAATGATGCCAGCATGACATTCCTTACTTTGGAGATTCAACGAGATGCATTCAGATAACGCCACGGAATTCACTGCAGTATGCACCCTTCACACCTGCCTACCTATCTCAATACGACTGCAATTTGTGCCAGTGTTACCTAACCATGCTCACTCCTTGAATTTATTCCCTATTCAAACGAATTGTACAAAATAATGGCTGAACTTATTGTAGTGATTTGAGGCAAACATTAGATCTCCTGGTTAGACTGGTGTCATATGTTTCGCGTTCGTGTATTAGGACATTACTATTACCAAACTGGAAATCATTTATTCCTTTTATACATAAAGATAATATGCCCACCTTTAACATGGAAAATTGTCTTTATCAATGTACCGTACAGTTCTTGGCAATTATACCGAGAATCGGTGTGATGTTTTCCCGAGGTGCAAATCGTAAATGTTATTGGAGGGAGAAACCGACAATGATTCTGTAAAGACACGAGGGTGGGAGTGACAACTTCATGTAGAAAAAGGTCGTAGGTAGTTGTATTTTAGTCCGAGACAAAAAGACCAACCTCCTAATCTTAAGGCCATCGTACAATCGAATAGTATTAGAATAAATGAGGTACCAA